TAAAATGTGTAAGATATATGTGTACATCTCCAGACATGCATCAGGTTGATTATGCGAAAGGGTCAAGGCCGATGGGGCCACACCTGCAAAAGGATCCGTAAGGTCAAGAGGGGAACCTGTGCTATATAAAGACGTGTTCTTTTGGTCGAACCATCAGTGTGATCCTTACACCAGCAACATGAAGTTTGTGAGTGTGTACTGATTTGTCTTAGATGAATCTGAAATGCCATAAATGTTCATTTGAAATGAAATTTCTTTCAAGTGACATTATAATCAACCAAAGACTGATAAATATATTTACCCTTTGTAGGTTATCATCGCTTGCGTGGCCGCCGTGGCTCTTGCTGCTCCCCAATACGACTCGAGCGAAGAGTTCGTGCCAATCCTGAAGGACGATCGTGTTCACGAAGATGATGGAACTTTCAACTTCGACTTCGAAGCTGCCAACGGCATCCGCGTCTCCCAGGCTGGATCCCCCGACGGCGATGAGGACGCTGTGATCAAGGCCGGAGAATACTCGTGAGTGCATATCATGTTTCTATGAACCTGTCAGGTTCAATTGAGTCGTTAACATACGTATTACGTTTAAGCTTACTTAATCAAAGATTTCAAAGCCTCACAATATATATAATTTCCGTTCGTACACTTGATTGTAATGAGATGACTTCTAAAATAATAAACCTCATATTTTACAGATACACCGCTCCTGACGGCACTCCCGTTGTCGTCAAGTACGTGGCTGACGAGAACGGCTTCCAGCCCCAGTCCGACCTCCTGCCCGTGGCTCCCGAGTTCCCCCACCCGATCCCTCAGTTCGTCCTCGACCAGATCGCTAAGGCCGCCGAGGAGGACCGCAACCGCAGCGACGATTCTGATGAACGTTACAATTAAGAAGCTCCAAAGAAAACCATCGTCTATTTATTGTATGCTATTGTTAATAGACTATATACAGATGTATACTTATTTTTACTACCTCCTACCTCGGTTCTGAACTACTAAAGATTTATCCATTTATCTTGAAAAATCAAGATGGATTATTCTAACATTAAGTTACGGGATATTTAATTGGCAGATTTACGTTTTTCTAACTCAAACGTCATTTGGTGTGTAACTGCAGTAAGAACAAAGCGAGAGTTGTTTACAAGAATGATGACGCCTTAACGACGGTGGTAGCCCTAAATATTCTTAATTGAAATAAATTCGAGCTCTGAATTTATTTCCATTCTGCTGGACCTCTTAATACAAGTGCTATTTTTTATCTGGATTATCTGCTTCATACGGTTTCCATTCCCTAATTTTGATATAAAGTATATTTTGTTAGTTCAAAAGGAGTACTGAAAAAAACACGAAATACTGATAAAGATGATCTACAGGAAAATAGTAGGAAACCAGCATACGCGAAAGAGATGAAATTTAAAAAAGTCGAAAGTTATTCAGACCTTGATAATTTCACTCAGATGGTCAGGGATAATTTGTACATTCGAGATACGCTATACTAATCACTCTTTAAGGATTACTCATTCTCCGACAGTACCATATCCATATGAATTCCGAAATCAGCTTGTGAATGGTTTTAAAAGAAATCGAAAACAGACATTCCTGAGGGTAACAATGGTATAATAATAACAAAAACAACAGTGATACCGATAATGTTACTCCAGACATACTCATATCCGATAGCGTTTTGCGTTCGCATCAAAATTGCACTATGGTAAAATGTGTAAGATATATGTGTACATCTCCAGACATGCATCAGGTTGATTGTGCGAAAGGGTCAAGGCCGATGGGGCCACACCTGCAAAAGGATCCGTAAGGTCAAGAGGGGAACCTGTGCTATATAAAGACGTGTTCTTTTGGTCGAACCATCAGTGTGATCCTTACACCAGCAACATGAAGTTTGTGAGTGTGTACTGATTTGTCTTAGATGAGTCTGAAATGCCATAAATGTTTGAAATTAAATTTCTTTCGAGTGACAACCACATTTCATTATAATCAACCAAAGAATGATAAATATATATACCCTTTGTAGGTTATCATCGCTTGCGTGGCCGCCGTGGCTCTTGCTGCTCCCCAATACGACTCGAGCGAAGAGTTCGTGCCAATCTTGAAGGACGATCGTGTTCACGAAGATGATGGAACTTTCAACTTCGACTTCGAAGCTGCCAACGGCATCCGCGTCTCCCAGGCTGGATCCCCCGACGGCGATGAGGACGCTGTGATCAAGGCCGGAGAATACTCGTGAGTGCACTTCTTGTTTCTATGAACCTGTCAGGTTCAATTGAGTCGTTAATATACGTATTACGTTTAAGCTTACTTAATCAAAGATTTCAAAGCCTCACAGAATATATAATTTCCGTACATACACTTGATTGTAATGAAATGACTTCTAAAATAATCATACCCAACCTCCTATTCTTACAGATACACCGCTCCTGACGGCACTCCCGTTGTCGTCAAGTACGTGGCTGACGAGAACGGCTTCCAGCCCCAGTCCGACCTCCTGCCCGTGGCTCCCGAGTTCCCCCACCCGATCCCTCAGTTCGTCCTCGACCAGATCGCTAAGGCCGCCGAGGAGGACCGCAACCGCAGTGACGATTCTGATGAACGTTACAATTAGAGAAATTCCTAAGAAACCTAACGTCTATTTATTTTATGATACGTATTGTTAATATACTATATAGATGTATACCTATTTTTACTACCTTCTACCACGTTGCTAAACTACTAAAGCTTTAAACAAATATTTTTGTATGAAGATACACCATTTTTAACAGTTAAGTTATGGGATAAATAATTGGCGGATTCACGTTATCCTAATATATAGATACATTAATATACATACAATGATATATGTATATAATATATATATTATATAATATATATATATATATATATAATATATATATATTGTGTGTGTGTGTGTGTATGTATGTATGTATGTATGTGTGTGTGCGCGTGTGTGAGTGTGTGTATTTACACGGATATTTATATGCTCTCTCTCTCTCTCTCTCTCTCTCTCTCTCTCTCTCTCTCTCTCATATATATATTGTATCTATACACACACACACACACACACACGACACACAACACACACACACACACACACACACACACACACATATATAAATATATATATATATATATATATATATATACATACATACATATATATATATATATATATATATATATATATATATAATATTATATATATATATATATATATATATATATATATATATATATATATATATATATATATATATATATATATATATATATATATATATATATATATATATACTGTAGACAAACACACATATGGGGAGAAGAGATAATATCCTTCACTGAAAGGCTCAAAACCGTTATGATTATTAGTCATGCAGAAGTGGAATTAGACTGTTCATCTAAACATACATTTTTATTCGCTTCATTACGTACTACACCACTAAAGAGGCGCGCCATTTACATTTGTGAAATCAAATATCAGATTCCATGCACTTAAGAACAATTGGAAATGATTCTGTTAACACACCTCAGTTGGCAGTATCACTTATGCTACTATCTGTTCTTTTTTCTTTCTACTATGAAAAATATTTTGGGAAAAAATCATCATTCTCTAATATATATGTTGTGGATGATAATGATACGTAAATCATGATAATAATTGTAATATCAAGGTCGATAATTATAGGTATAACGATAGTAACAGTAATAATATTTATTGTCATAGTTACGAAAAACTATAATCGTGATAATGATACCAGGAGTAATAAAGATAATGATAATAATAATATAACAAAGCATAAATGATGTAATGAAAGAACAACAGTAATAATAAAAATAACAGTAGTAACTATTGAGGTAATACCGATAATGGTAATAATAATAATGAAAATAGAGTTGCTGATAAGAGAGAGAGAGAGAGAGAGAGAGAGAGAGAGAGAGAGAGAGAGAGAGAGAGAGAGAGAGAGAGAGAGAGAGAGAGAATCATTTAAGATTATCTGCCGAGTCAAGAGCATAAGTCATCAGCAGCAATGAAAGAGAGACAGCATTTTTATCTGTCTCAACATCTGCCAGTTTACGCTGAAATAACATCTTCATTCACGCAATATCAAACATTCCCACGATAAAGCCCACTTTAGACTACACCCACACCTGTCGCTCGTCCAGTGCAGAGTGTGTATGCTCAAAACGTTATATGGTGTGTAACAACAATAACAAAACGAGTGCTAAAAACGGTGGTAACCCGAAAACAACTAATACTAATTCTAATACTAATAATAAACTTTGAACTCTGTGCACTTCTCCTTTTTTCCCCTCAAGAACGAAAGTTTACATGAATTTATTTCCATTGTGCTGGTCATCGTGACATCCCACATTTTTGTTTATCTGGATTACACTGTTCCCGTCCGTGTATTTCGACATACTGTAATCTTGCCCTTTCAAAAGGAACACTGAAAAGACAAAATGCTGACACACTAACGATCTACACGAAAGCAACACTTAGAAGTTTGGCATACACGCAATTGATGAAACAATGCCGTGCTATTAAAGCATATGAAAACCAAGGTCTAAATTTATTCGCACCTTGTCGACGATTACACTTAGATGTTCTTTGATTATGTGTAAATTCGACATGCGGCAGAACTCAGAATTGGTCTTGACACTAATCATTTATACCAATCACTCTTCTAGGGGTACTCACTATACGACGGTACCATATTCATGTGGATTCCGAAATCAAGTAAATAAAAACTCTTGTGACTGGTTTATAAATGAAGACAACCTTATCAGAAACAGCAAATGTAACTCTGTTGATAGCGATGATAGAATAATAACAAACACAGCAGCTATAGTGATAATATTACGCCAACCATAACCATACCTGATAGCATTGTTCTCTCACTGCAATATTATACCATGTTACGCTATCTTTACATACTCAGACATGCATCGAGCTGATGGTGCGAAAGGGTCAAGGTCGTCAGAGCCACGCCTGCAATAGCGCAATAGGGTCGCTAAGGTCAAGAAGGAACCTGTGCTATATAAAGCCGTGTTCTTCTGGTCGAACCATCAGTGTGATCCTACACCAGCAACATGAAGTTTGTGAGTGTGTACTGAATTTGTTTAATGAATTTGAAGTAACTAAAACGTTCATTTGAATTTGAAAACATTCCTTCTTTATTATCGACTATAGATTGACAAAAATATACTTCCCGTAGGTTATCATCGCTTGCGTGGCCGCCGTGGCTCTTGCTGCTCCTCAATACGACTCGAGCGAAGAGTTCGTGCCAATCCTGAAGGACGATCGTGTTCACGAAGATGATGGAACTTTCAACTTCGACTTCGAAGCTGCCAACGGCATCCGCGTCTCCCAGGCTGGATCCCCCGACGGCGATGAGGACGCTGTGATCAAGGCCGGAGAATACTCGTGAGTATTTCATTATACTTTTTGTTCTCTATGTCATTTTCAACAAAGAAAAAAAAAAAGAAAATATATTAAATATATTAACTGTTTTAAAGTATCTCATAATATATAAATTTTAGCGCATGGGTTATTATAACGAATCGTCTTCTAAAAAAAGCCTTACATCTTCATTTGTTTACAGGTACACCGCTCCTGACGGCACTCCCGTTGTCGTCAAGTACGTGGCTGACGAGAACGGCTTCCAGCCCCAGTCCGACCTCCTGCCCGTGGCTCCCGAGTTCCCCCACCCGATCCCTCAGTTCGTCCTCGACCAGATCGCTAAGGCCGCCGAGGAGGACCGCAACCGCAGCGACGATTCTGATGAACGTTACAATTAAGCAGATACTCATAAAACCTAATGTATTTATTGTATATTATTAATAAACCATGTACATAACGTATATATATTTTTGCTACCCCCAAACACGGCACTAAACTGAACGAAATTGATATCATCTGCATACACTGTTGTGATATAGTTGCGGAATAAGCATTTTTAATTCAAGTTCCCATAGAATATGACTGTTTCATTATTACAAGCATAAACGGAATGAGTTTCCTATAGACCATTTTTGAAAGGGTCAACTAAAACACATTCATGTCTGGTAATATGATATGCATTGCCCCCCATAGTCCGTTTGAGATTATGTTCTCACTCATTAATATGGCAATATAGGTAAAACCTTATACTGCGAACAATATCAAAATTCAGAAAATAATGATAATAATGATAATCATAGAAAATATTAATGATAATCTTAAGAGAGAACCTTCTTTATTACGCAATTTAATCTGCGCGGAAATAAGAGCCTCATTTAAACAATACCAATCATAAATGCCTGTAATGAGGCCTATTTTAGACTACTTTTACACACCAATTGCTCGCTCAAAGCAGATCGTGTGCTGTCGGGACATCACACGGGGTGGAACAACAATAAAACAATGCTAGTTTTAATGTTTAAGAGATTTTAATGATAGTGTTAACGACAGGGGCAGACCTGAAGATTATGTTGAGGATTAACTGATAATTAAATGCGAAAATTAAGGTGATATAAAGAGATTATAAAGTTGACATAAATACCGATACTACTACTGTTTCCATTATTGATGAGAGTGCTAATGCAAATATCAAAAGTAATACTAATATTGATAATGATAAACTCGAGCTCTGGGTGCGTGTCCCTCTTTACCTAATGATAAAAAACAACATGGATTCGTTTGTAGTGGGACTGGAGTGCCAGTTTTTCTGTTTGAATATAATGTTAACGTGCGAAGCGCGTTGTGTAACTAATGTTACACAACGCTGCTCAAAAGCTTAAAATACGCGGAGAAATTAGTGAGTAAATTCTATATTTGACAGATCCCAAATTTGGCACAGAAATCGCAAATTCACTTTTTTTTTTTTTTTTTTTTTTTTTTTTTAAAGATTCACGCACTGCAAAGTATACTTGAACATTGTCCTGTCTAGACACGATGTGACAAACACCGATTTCTGAATCATGCAGGAACATCAGCACTATAATAATCTCAATCAGCTGAATCTGTTTATATCAGGCTACAAACAGTTTTCAGCGTTTTTGGTAATATAAGGACACTTGAATTAACACCATCAATAAAATCGTAATAATAACGATGAGTATGTCAGGGAGAATAAATGCAACAAAAACAACAAGACTGATACTGATAGGATAACCATAATAGTTACCATGATAATGTGCTCTAACGGCAGGATATCAGCATTTGCCTTTCATTTACCAACATACTTCAAGCTGATTGCGTGATAGGGTCAAGGTAGGTAACGCAAGGGGCACGCTTGCAATAGCAGTGATAAGGTCAAGAGGCAGCCTGTACTATATAAAGCCGTGTTCCTCTGGTCGAATCATCAGTGTGATCCTTACACCAGCAACATGAAGTTTGTGAGTGTGTGCTGAATTTGTTTAATGAATTTGAAATTATTTAAATGTTCATTTGAAATTAAATCATTCCTTCTTTATTATCAACTATAGATTGACAAAAATATACTTCCCGTAGGTTATCATCGCTTGCGTGGCCGCCGTGGCTCTTGCTGCTCCCCAATACGACTCGAGCGAAGAGTTCGTGCCAATCCTGAAGGACGATCGTGTTCACGAAGATGATGGAACTTTCAACTTCGACTTCGAAGCTGCCAACGGCATCCGCGTCTCCCAGGCTGGATCCCCCGACGGCGATGAGGACGCTGTGGTGAAGGCCGGAGAATACTCGTGAGTGCTTCATTATACACTTCAAATTCAGTCCAGCCCTCATCATTTTCATATTTTTATTGCAGATTCAGAAGATATGCTCGGTTTCTAAAAAAACCTTACACACCTTCATTGTTTACAGATACACCGCTCCTGACGGCACTCCCGTTGTCGTCAAGTACGTGGCTGACGAGAACGGCTTCCAGCCCCAGTCCGACCTCCTGCCCGTGGCTCCCGAGTTCCCCCACCCGATCCCTCAGTTCGTCCTCGACCAGATCGCAAAGGCCGCCGAGGAGGACCGCAACCGCAGGGACGATTCTGATGAACGTTACAATTAAGGAAGCTGCTCAAAGAACTTTATGTATTTATCATATTTTGTTAATAGACCTCATATATAACATTTATTATCTTTTTCTGCCCCCTACCACAGTACTGAACTTAAGACAGAATTACATGCACTGTTTTGAAATAGTCATAGGATGATAACCAGTTTTATCAAGGTCAAGTTTCCGTAAGAATGACTATTTACTTGTTTATCTATTAACGATTCTGTAAAACTATTTCCATCCCTATCATCACATAAAACACGATTAAATGCAGTACATATTTTACATATTTCCATCAAATATTGGGTGAGTTAAAACCCATCATCTGGATTCATTATGCTTAGATCTCCTTGATTCAGCAAAAAAAAAAAAAAAAAAAAAAAAAATATATATTTATTAAAACACCAAGATTATGAAAGCAAAATTCATATTTTGAGTATAATGATAAAAGAGATAGATCAAATTCTGATAAAACAGTGTCATGATTTTATTAATATTAAGACTAAGAGAGCCATCTTCCTAGCCAAGTAAATCTCATCCACGGGCTAAATGTGGCCTTCGGGATGTTCATCAATGGCCCATGGAATGACAAGACGAAATGTGATTTTTATGAAGGAGACTAATATATGATTAAGAAACTGTAAACTCATAAGTAACATTTATTGCATGAAAGAAAGTAATATATGATAAGAAACTGTAAACTCATAAGTAACATTTATTGCATGAAAGAAAGTAATATATGATTAAGAAATTGCAAATCCATAAATAACCTTTATGTTGTCTCTATTATAAGGGGGAGGAATAGATAGTATTCATAGAATTAAAATTATTAAACAGTCTTAAAACGGAATACGAAGCCATTATCTTTACGTACACGAAAACACTTATAACGTAATTATTGGAAAATATATTAAACATGTAAGTTGTATGGTAGCTTACTTACGTATGTTCATATTCTGCCAAACATGTTTCTCACGTTTGAAAACTAAAATATAAATGTATAATAGATTGCAGCAACTAGTGACTCATGCCTATACAGACACATTTTGTTGCCATTATTGTCGGCATTCAAAATCTAATAAATAAAAGAAACTATGCAAAGATAAGTGAATTTCAGATAGTTTATTTTTATTTCTTTATTATTATTATTTTTATCATTTTTTATAAAGCAATCTCGGTAAGCCAGGTATTTATTTACCTTTGCGGCGCTTAAACAGTTAAAAATGATTTTGATGATTAAATGATAATGCATAATAATAATGGTATTAATGGCGATAATGAAATTAGCAGTACTGCTACTCTTATTATCATTGATGATATAAATGATATTATGACTGATGAGGTGAATGATAATATCGATAGTAATAGAAATACTAATACAAATGTGTATGTGTCACTCTTTACCTCAAAAATAAAGAATATTAACATCAATTCGTTTGCGATGAAATTATCCTTTTAACCACTAGAGTAAGAACATATAATTTCTCGATATCTTTTATTTTATAAATGATAATGTATGACTTTATGACGAGGAACCTCTTTGTTGGTGACAATGTATGACTTTTTGACGAGGAAAATATTGTAAGTAAAAAAAATAAAAATAAAAATAATAATAAAATAATAATAATAAATAAAAATAAATGGACAGGGAATGACACTAATATGGCACTCGTGAACTAAGTGACGATAAGAACATTTGAAATACCCTAAATGTTCAACCTTCATTTTCTTATACCAGTAATGTACTAAGAAATTAGTATTTGCATAGTCGCAGCAACCTTTGCCGCATCTCAGTATTACTCAAGCGAAGGATTGGTGCCAATTCTGAGGGTCAGTCGTGTTCAATTTTAATCCTACAGGGTATTCGCCGCTAATGACCTTACCTTTTGACGCGTGAGGTAATAATAATGATAATGATAATAATAATAATAATAATAAATGTTAATAATAATAATGAAAATAATAATAACAATAGTAGTAGTAGTGATAATAATAATGATAATGTAATAATAATAATAAATGTTAATAATAATAATGAAAATAATAATCATAGTAGTAGTAGTATTGATAATGATAATAATGATAATAACAATAGTAGTAGTAATAATGATAGTAGTAATAATATTAGTAGTAGTAGTAAAAAAAATAATAATGATAATAATAACAATAGCAGTAGTAGTGATGATGATGATGATGATGATGATGATGATGATAGTAATAATAATAATGATAATGACAATAGTAGTAGTAGTAATAATGATACTAATAATAACAATTGTAATGATAATAATGATAATGATGATGATGATAATATAATAATAATAATAATAATAATAATAATAATAATATAATAATAATAATAATAATAATAATAATAATAACAAGGGTAGTAGTAATAATAATATTAATGATAATAATGACAATAATAGTAGTAGTAGTAGTAATAGTAATAATAATAATTATATAATGATAATAATAATAATAATAATAATAATAACTTATTAGTATAATAACAATAGTAGTAATAATAATAATGGCAATAATAATAATAATAATAATAATAATAATAATAATAATAATAATAATAATAATAATAATAATAATAATAATAATAATAATAATAATAATAATAATAATAGTAATGATAATAATAATAATAGTAATGATAATAATAATAATGATAATAATGATAATGATAATAAAAGTAATAATAATGATAATAATAATAATAATCATAATAATAATAATAGTATCAATAATGATAACGATAATAATAATAATGAGAATAATAATAATAACGATAATAATTATGATAATAATAATGTTAGTGATAATGGGCAATAATAACAATGATAATGATAATAATATTGATAACAATAATAATAGTAATAATAATGATGATAATAATAAATAAAGGATGAAAAATAATAATAAAGATAATAATAATAACCATGCTAAGAACGTTAAATTTAATAGTAATTAAGATTATGATTACTCTTACTTTTTACCATTATATTCATTATTCTTACTATTATTATCATCATTACCATACTTATGATTATAGTCATGATTATAATTAAAATCAATATTTTAAAAAATATATCTTTATTATTATTTTTATTATTATAATTATCATAGTTATTTATATTATCATCATCATCATTACCATCATCGTCATCATCATTATCATCACCATCATCATCATCACCACTATTGTCATCATTATCATCCCCATCACCATTACCATTACCATCGTCATCGTTATCATCATTATCATCGTCATCACCATCATCGTCATCGTCATCATCATCATCATCGTCATCATCACCATCATAATTGTGATTTTGATTATCATTAAATGTTATCATAGCAAATGATAAACGTATTATTTTGAAAGTAGTAGTGCTATCAATAAGAACAATGATAATGAAAATGTCAGTAAGAAACGCAAAATATATATCGCAAAAAAAACAAAAAAAAATGCTGACGAATAATAATGGGAAGTATATCGTGCATAATAATGATAAATGTATTGTCAGTCATATTCAAGATAATAACGAGGGTAATAATAGATGATCGAAGAAAAATAACAAATATTAATAAAAACAACATTATCGTCATAAGCATTATTAATGTGAGTAACAGCAACTTTGTTGTCACTTTTAGTAACACTTTTTCCTTGCTTTGCTATTATCATCACTATCCTGGTTGTAACTATAAGATTATGAGATCATCACTAATAGTTATTGATCTTATAAATCAAGGTCTCGGCATTTCAAATAGTTTATCATTGGTTTACTACAAGACACATTTTCTGTGCATCTTCCCTCGTCAATTATTCTGTGCATCTTCCCTTGTCAATTATTGGATAAAGGGTTATCATGAGTTTTATATTTTTATTTTCTTACCTCTGCTACGACTACCATGAAGATGCCACGAGTGCGATGAAAGGGCTATGCCTACTGCGAAAAGGTCATGGTCAGAAAAGCTAAACGGAATTTACAAGGGTAACGATAAGGTCAAAAGAGTCCCCTCGCTATATAAAAGGCTCTGTCGCTTGTGCTGAGACATCAGTTCGACTAGACTCTAACCAACATGAAGTTTGTGAGTGTCTTGTGACTTGGAATGAAATGAAAGCAAAACTACTCTTTGAGTGCTTCTTCAACTTTCAGGGTTTAATAGTTTGTAAACTAACATGTTCTATGTATGTGATCATTATATTTAGGTAATCCTCGCCTGTGTTGCCGCCGTGGCATTCGCCGCCCCCCAGTACAGCTCCAGCGAAGAGGTCGAATTCGTGCCAATCCTCAAGGACGACCGCGTCCACGAGGAAGACGGAACTTACAGCTTCGACTTCGAAGCTGCCAACGGCATCAGCTTCTCCCAGGCTGGATCCCCCGACGGTGATGAGGACGCTGTGATCAAGGCCGGAGAATACTCGTGAGTACTTTTGAAGCATCTTTGTTTTCTACTGACCTGTGAAAT